GCTAGCTGTTGCTTCTGATTAAAATATTTACCTCTGGAGGTCAGTTTTCTACACGAAGCATATAAATCAGTTATTAAAGCTGGCTCATTAAAAAGTTTGGAAAACAATGTACATATTTTAAGGCTATATGATGTGTTCAGCATATTGTCATGTTTTGAACCTGGATTTATTTGCAAAATGTACATGTCTTTGAATCTGTGTTTTTATCCTTTTATGAAATCATTGGGAAAATTGAGATGGTTTAAAAAGAGCAGTTCTGAATAATGTGTAGCTTTTCCATTGTTGATAAACTTTAAATCTCAATCAGTTCTACTAAACACAGCTAGTAATGAAGGGTTATCTATCTATATACTACCAAAACTCTGATTCCTGTAAGATCAAGCTGATCATAAAAGAGTTTATGACATAATACAAAATGACATTAAAAATTCCTATGCTGATATTGATTCTGCTATACAGTCCATAATGAATTGATCACAGGTTGTCTAGTTATCTATATAATACTAAAACTCTGATTCCTGTGATCTTTAACAGGACAAAACATGTACCACAGGGCAAAACATTTTGAACCAAATGGGCTAATTTACAAAGTGAGTCCAAAATCTGGGACACATGACTCCCATGGAATTGAAGTTTGACATAATTTTTATGATAAAGCATTTTATGATACAGTACAAATGTCATTAAACATTCCTATGATCAGTTCCTGATGCTTGACTATGCTATACAGTTCAACATGGGCTAGTTTCAAGGGAGATATATCTCTGAATATTTCCCCGAATTTTTAAAGAACTTTTCAACTATATTAGAAGCTCTGTTATTGTTGAAGGCATTGAGGAATTTGAGAAAATTATGGCTGCTTCAGCGCTGCCAGACTGCTGCTGCTTCAGTTCAGCCAGGATGCTACTGCAATCACATGATGCTCATTTTCCTGACAGTTTCCCAGCCACTCTCACAATCCCTTGCTCCCTCCTCCATCCAACAGCAGTCTCCTACTTACCTGCTGGAAATCACTAATTAGAAAAGTCTGAAATAGGATTTCCACATCATATAAATGCTTCTGGATTGGGTGTTTTAATTGTTTCCACAGTTGCTAACCATAACCCTGTGCCAAGCCTACCAACAGGGATTGATTGTACTCACCAGGCAGAGGAGAAATAATATATTTTCCTAAGAATTACTGTAGATGATTGCATGTGCCTGTGTGTTATTATCTTGCATTTGATGAGAAGAATAGAGCAGTGGGTATGACTTGCAGTTTAGCTGCTGCTCCAAAAGGATTATTTGTCTGCCAAGTTGCATTACAATATTTTTTCAATAGAAAGGAATATATGTAGCTCAAGGTTGAACTTAATTTTATTACCTAATTTGAGAATTTGATTTTATTACCTAACTAGGTAACATTATAATTGCCAGTAAGTGTTAGCTTTCCTCCCTGTTTATATACAATAGCTTTCCCTGCCAGTGTTAGTGGGAGTCTGGCTTTCTTATTGATAGTTCCTTGATTAAGATACTGTTTTCTGCTTGAGTGTTTGTCTGGTGTTAATCTCTGTTTATCTGGACGTTGGTTGCTGAAAAAGATATCTGGTCTTTTTGTTTCCTGCTTAGCTTTTTTATTGTCTCTTTTGAATGGTGTGTAAATGTAGTTTATCTCTATGTATCTATTGATGACTGGTTTGTCTGAGTGCCAAGCTTCCAGAAATTCCCTAGAATGTTTGGATTTATCTTGGCCTAGGATGCTCATAGTTTCCCAGTTGAAACTATGGTTGAATCTGTCTGTCCCTGTCATGAGATTAAAGGAGTGTTCATCATTTAATCATCTATGCTCCTTAAACGGATTTCTACTTCTTTCCCTTTTCCTTCCCTGTCCACTTCCCTTTTTCCTGTACCTTATCTGTAACTTGTTTGTTTCTCTCTTTTTCTCTTTCTGTGACAGTGCAGCTAAACTCATCTCTCTTCTTATTTTTAGTTGTTTCGGCTTGAAAAGGAGAAAAGTGTGGGTGTTAGAATGATTTTGTGTAAGCAAGAGAATTACCACACTCTGGAGATTGAGATAAATTAATTTTATAAATGTAGTTTCTTATTTTAAGCAGATAATTTTAATTAGTAATTGAATTATTAGCTACTAATATTAATATATATATATATATATATATATATATATATATATATATATATATATATATATATATATATATATATATATATATATATATATATATATATATATATATATATATATATATATATATATATATATATATATATTTGTTTTTGTTCTGGCCCTTCCATCTGGCACACACATGCATGAGTGCATACACACACACACACACTGGCCAGCCCCAGATGAAACCAGTGGTGGATTTTACCTACATTCCTCATAATAAATGCATTCATACCCTAAATAGTCATTCTCTGAGTCCAAGGGTATCCTTTTGAGCTTTTTCTTTAACTTACCTGAATCTTTTAAAACATTTTCTAGGTAATTTGGTTCACATACTGCAATGTTTCAATGTGGTTCTACAATTAAAAATTGCTATAGTTTACATTGATAGTTTATGGCATAGAAAGCAAAACA